ATGAATTGAAGCACAAACTTGAGCGATTCAAAGTTAAGACTATAAATATAGGAGGAATTGTGAAGGAGGAGAAAAAGTGATTGAATTCATAAAACAATTTGGCTTTATTCTTCCTTTTCCTTTCTTAAATTGATTTTCTTTTTCTTTTTTTGTTGAAAACAAATTATTTGATTCATTTGTAATTCTAGAAACTTGACTCATTTTTTACTTGGGCATTCAAGTTTCAAATCAATATTCTTTTGCATGTTTTGGTACATTACGGTTTACCGTGGCTTTGCTTTTAAGTTAATAACGTGTCACCAAAACAGCATTCGTAACAAAGAGCATAGTGCAAATCTGATTTCAATAACAAAGAGCATAGTGCAAATTCTAACAATGGCCTAATTAGATTTCTACTTGGATTGAACTATATCTTTCTACATATACGGGCTGAAATTTAGGCCATATTTGATTGCAACGAATTCTATGAAAAATGTCACATTCGAAGAAAACGAATTCAATTTTGATCGTTTGATTGCAATGTGGAAATAAAAATCGAATTCAAATGTACAACCAATTTAAGCTGTATTTTCTTTATTTTCATGGAAAACGAATTCATATGGGTTTAGTGGATTTTTATTTTCCAACTAATAATGAATTAGAATTCATTTCCACATTTGCCTATCAAGCGGACCATTGGAGAAAAAGAGGGGAAAAAGAGAAATGAAATACCTTCATGTTTTCTTGATTTTTTCATGGTTCTTCTAGTTCAGAATTGAGTTTTTGATTTCATTGAAAATGTTTCACACGTCGATATGGTCTATACTTTGATGGATATTATAGAATACTTGAAAGTTGAAAGCATCAAGTTCTTGAATTAAAAGCAAAAAATTCGTGAATTAAAAGTTAGAAATTTGTTGCTCAAATCCAATCAAGAATTTGAATATGGATTTGAGTAAATTCTAAATCTATTTCCTTGATTGTAACATACACGTAAGCATCCAGTAAAGGTTTTGTGCAATCAAATTAACAGCCATCATTCACATTTTTTAATTCTTTGGTTGCGTGTTCTAGTCGAGTGATGTCTACGATTAATTGATTATATGATGATTAAAGGATTAAAATTATTTTAAAATATGATTAGATTATTTGTGGTCATGATTCCTAATTGTAATTCGGTATTTTGAGTTTGTAACAAGATATTTGGATTATGACTCCATAATCATGATTTAATTTTTTATTACAATTAATTCAAGATTGTAAGTCCAAATGTGGGTAGTGAGATTTTGTAATTTTGTAATTCTTGCAATTTTGGAGTTTCTTGTCTATTGATCAGAGAGTTGAAGATCGAACTCGACGAAGATTAAGAATAAGGGTCTGTTTGTTTTTTATTCTCAAATTCTACAGTAAATCAATTCTCATTTTCAACCACACATTCTTCAATAAAATAATATTTTCCATCACATCACTAATTTTTTTTTCTTTTTCAACCACACATTTTCCATCATATTACTATTCAAAATCAATTCTTCCCCCAAAAATCCCTACTAAACAAGCACTAAATATAAAAAATAAAATAAAAATTGGTTGGACCTCTACGCAGCACAGATATGTGCGACCCGCTATATAGATCCTATCAAATCCATGTATTGGGTTGAATCTGGATGGATCGTTACGAATTTTGGAGAAGTCAATTCTAACAGGTTTCGTAGAAGGATTAGGAACCAGTATTTTTTGGTAAAACAAGACTCGATCCGATCAACAATCGGAAACTCTGTTTGACTGATTGCTTGTCAAAGATTCGTCGACTTTTGATTAGTCAACCAGCAGCCTCGTCAAAGGACACGACATGTTATAGCTTATAAATATCCTCAATC